CTTCTGCCCAGCTGCTGCTTTATTACCACCCGCCACAGCTGCCACTCCCCCCTGTCCACCTGACCCTGCCACCACTGCCTCCACCACCACTACAGCTGCCACCCTTCCCCTGCCACTTGCCTACCTTACTGCTCACATGCCACTATCACCACTGCCCCCGCCACCATTACCACTCTCCTCACCTGCCACCACTTTCCTACCTCCAGGGCTGGGGTCAGGGCCATCCCATGGGCAAGGATGGGAGTGCAGCATGTGCTGCCCTCATGGGAGTGAATGGGGCTCGGTCCCATGTGACCACAGCAGTATCCAGCCCAGCCCTGGGCTGCTCCAGTGAATTAGTAGGTACGTACCCATGGGCCAGATGAAATCACCTGGCAGGCCAGATTTGGCCCATGAGCTGTATTTTGCCCACCCCTACTTTAGAGGAAAATGGCAGAGCTTTTCTTTTTTCCCTTGTCCATACATTAATGCTTGTTGAGGAGGGCTGAAGAGCACTAAGGTTGTATATGAGCTTAGTGAAACCTCAGTCATGCATTTAGGTTTATCTGGAGAAAACTGGTGCATCTGTTTATTCTAGAGTGTTTTTGAAATATTGACAAAGGAGCCCAAAACAGTGAATGAGTGCTCCTCTATTACATTTTGTACAAATCCAAATAAATAAATAGACAGACTGACATCAGACTATGGCCTTGAAGAGAATGGAGATCATTTATCTCCAAGGAATTAATCTAATATATTATATGAGCACTAAAACCCATTAAAAAGAAATTGGAACATTAAACTATGGGCAGTATTATTTGATATCATACAAAGTCTTTTAACTGGGTATGAATGTAATTCCAAGAATACAACATTTTGAAAGGCTGTAAATGGGCCTCAACATAGTAAAAGGGAATCCAAATTAAAAAAAAAGTGTAGTCCAAGGTGATAATTACCAGCTACATGTTAACTTTCATATGATTGCTTAATTTACAAAATTAATTAGTGTTAATGCATTCAACACAGTAAGCCACAGCATCATACTGATATACAAGGTTGTGTGACTAGTATCACTCTGAAAGTGAGAAAAGCAGGAATCAAACTCTATGACTATCTTTACTTACTAGTTATTACTGCTAAAGTAAAATAGATTCTTCACCAGGTCACTGCATCCATGTAAAAGAGTCCATGTGATTCTCCTTATTTTTTTTCAGTGGACTTAGTGCACGTTGGGAAAGGACCCTGGGGCAACAGGTGAATTTAGGTTACAGAACTTAGGCACTGAATGACAGCACAATATTTCAGAGAAAAACTTCTCAGCTAGGATACTACAGGAACTGGACTCTATTCTAGTGATGCACAGGCACAAGAAAACAAAGCAGTACTAAAGGATACTGCAGACTGAAAAGCATCTCTGCTTGCTAATAACCAGGAGTCTTGAAATGCCAGTCAATCAGATATGAAGGACATCACCCATACTGTACACTGCAATGTAGTGTAGTGAAAAAGATACCTGAGCACAGTAGCACAAAGCTCCACACAGTGTAATATATCCTGATTCCCTGTGCGGCTGTGCCTACATTGCTTCCAATACTTGAGTAAGGTAATTTAAAGCTATACAAGTAATTTTCCATACTGCAGTCCAAGGTCATGTGATAGACAAATTTCAGATTGTAACACACTCTGAAGTCCAGAGGTGAGACCAACCCAGCCCAAAGAGAGGGGATGGGGTGACTATGATGATTGTAAGTCACCTTTGACTCTTCCTCACCCAGCCTTCCTGGTTACCTCCTAACTGAGCTATTCTGTGTGCAATGTAAATACACTTTTGGCCTCAGCTAGCAGCACAGAAACAGAGGCAGTAAATAAGCCCTGCTTACCCACTCCTGTACTGTGCATGACAACCCCAGAAATGAAGTGGTACGGATGTTGCAGGAGTGCCCCCAAACTTGAGCACAATGCTATGGATACTCCACAGCAACCTCACCACTTCATTTCTGGGGTTGATATATACACAGTAGCATGTGGCTGGGGACTTATTGCCTAGTTACCTGAATAAGTATTCTTGCTCCCATTATGTGGAGACCTTTGGAAAACTGTAGAGGGCTCTAAGTTATAGTAACATATTCATGGATGCCCGTGGGACATGACATGGTTTGGAATCTACCTGCTGTAGCTGGCTCCTAGCACTAACCCCAAGATGACTTTATCCCACATCCTGTAAAGGAGTTTTCAGTCTGTCTTGTTTTCTGAATGAGGAAAATCCTCCTGTGACTATATTCAGGCCTTCCATCCCCTTCACCCTGAATAAAGAACATGAAGAAGGGAGAAGGATCTCGCCCAAGATTTTCAAGAGTTCATTATCAATCAGTTCCCATTAAGAACAATTAACTAAAAATAGAACAATAGAAGCTGCCATGGGTAAGTGTGTTGAAACCACAGCTTTGAAATGACAGTTAGCTGATCCTGGAAGATGTAAGTTAGACTAGTAGCAATACATATGGCAAAACCAAGTGGTTCAGCTCCATTTCTTTTTGACAAAAGGTTTCCAGACTGGAATGCAATGAACAGCTGAGCTTCCAGAGCTTGCTAGGCTAGGAAAATCTATTTTAATCCCATGGCACCTAAACAACTCAAACAATTATGCCAGGTTTAAAAGGTAAGACCAAGAGAGAAAATAACATTGTTTAAAATTTGATTATTCATTTAAATTTCTTGTATTGTCCTCTTAACTCACAACCAGAGGACAGTGCATCTGACCTGTACAAGAACAAGGAGATGTAAAATTTAGATTAAAAACAACATTGGCTGAATAGAAGTGATTTTCTTTTTGTCATTTTGATACATGTATTAAGCAAACTAAACTCACGTCTATGCCTGACCTACTGCCTCATTCTTTAAACTTGGAGAACAACTTTTGTGAATTACAGTTGAATTACAATTCTTCATTGTTAAATTCTCTTTTAAGGAATGAATTTCTGCAGGAGGTTATCACCAAACATGAAAAAAAAATCCTTAGACTGCTGGCAGATGTTAAAAAATCCCCCCCTGTAGCAGGGCACTAAGGTGCCTGCTACTGGTAGACAGTAAAATGGGTTCAGCTGCCAGTCACCAGGGCACCACAGGTGTGGGTTGCTGTGACAACCAGTCTGGTCAGCTGACCGGAAGGGGGCGGGGCCTGGCCTATATAAACAGCCAGGCTGAGGCCAGAAGTCAGTTCCCCTCTGGCAGTTGAGGAAGGTGGAGCTCTGCTGGAGCAAGCAGAGCAGGAGAAGCCTGATGACCTGAGTAGCTTATGGGTGAGAATACCAGGCAGAGGAACCCCTGGCAGGGATGGTAATGCTGATGAGCCAGAGGGCTTAGGGTTTACGTTTTAGCCAACAGGCTTGGGTTTTGTGTTACAGCTGATTGGGTTATGGTTTTGGTTATTGTTACACCGGAGGACCGGGTGAGGCTGTAAGGGGTTGGAGGAGGCCTCATGGGAGCTCCCCAGTAGCGTGGGGGGGGGGTTCCTGGTGCCAGAGAGGGCACAGCAGTCTAGTGCCAGAGAGGGCAC